ATTCTTGATGGAGAAGAAGAGAGGACGAAAATATATATTAGAAAGAGAAAGAGAGGTTTTGGAGGCCGAAAATGTAAATTTGTGTGGTTAGCTAATGAACAAATTTTACTTGTTTGAGGTAGGCATGCAACCTATGATCTATTTCTGATTTCAATTCAAGTGCTCCAATAAAAATATGCTTGAAAAATGAATTTTTCTTAAGTTTGGAAAAAGTTTCATCGCCTAACTTTTAGTGTATTATTATATACTCTATTTTTGAAATTTAAATTATAAGAATACAAATTACCACTAGTTGGTTTGCTCTGATGAATTTATGAAAATTATGGATAAATGGGTTGCTTCTGAACTTCATTACAATTGACAAAATGTGTTAGCTTTATATTTTACACAGTCTTTGTGAATTTTATAATATTCTTAAAAAAATTGAGTAGGCATTTAAAAGTTGGAGGAAACTTTGGTAAACCAAAATAATTCTTAAGTATATGTTTTAATTTCATAATTGTATATTACATATACATTATCATGCATTTCAAAATATTCTGAAGTTCTGTTTTAGAACCCAAAACCCAAGCATGGGGCGCGCTGCCCCCTGCGACCCGTAGAAGCTCATTGTCGTGCTCAACCAATGGATTTGAGGTTTTAGTCAACTTTACAACCCGTAGGAAAGTAAAGCAAGAGCAAAACAAACAAGAAATAAAAAATAGAAGATAAGAAAATCAATATTTAACGTGAAAAAAATAAAAAATAAAAAATAAAAACTATGAAGTCACACCACACTAAGAAATCCACAACAAATATGGGAGAAATTGTACAAATTTATCTTCTCACACTCTCTCCTTGTCTCTCTTGTCTTCTCACATTGTTCAACACTTATAACATACAAAGAAACACACTTAAATACTTCAAAGGGCACAACCCTTCAAGTGAAAAAATAAAGGATGAGGAAGAACAACAGCTCTACCTAACCCGCACACTGTGGCATTGTACCCACAACATCTCGGGGTTGAATTCTGTCTCGCAGCTCGCATCACTGTGGTGTTGAACTACAATGTTATATAATTGAGTTCATATTGTTGCGACATTGTATTCTCTATCTTAGAGGGGATCCACAACGCTTTGGAGTTAAATTGCAATGCCACGGTGCTTCAACAATGTATAGCTCCACAACGCTTTGACCCCCAAACGCGTTCCTCATTAAGCTCGATCGATAGAATTAATGTTTGAGTCAATAGTGCAACATAATTGATCAACATAATTAGTCTCCGCCAAAACCTAACACAACCCCGTTGATTAACACAATCATAATCCATAATTATACATTGTGCCTCAATATTTGGACCCAGAAAAATATGCGATGGCTTTTGCTCTGCTAGAGTTTCTTCCATCCTAGTCGATCTCCTCCGCTGCACTCTTTTCCTGGCCTCTCCGACGCTAGATTTGGATTCAGGCAAGTTTCTTTTTTCCTTTCTTTTATGGCTTTTTCTATTGTTTCAGTTTTTCCCTTTCGGTTTTCCGTCGGCTATTTTGGTATATGGTTGTTAACTGCCTCATTGATCCCAGCTTTTTGAATGGGAAGAACTCCTATCATTTCTTTAGAGATACTTTATTTGGTGGTTCACCTTCTTTGATTTTTCCAGACCTCAAAATCACTTCTCATTATGGGTTGCCATCGTTGTGGATTTCTAAAAATGAAATTTTAGGGCTTGCTGGCCCTTTGAAGTTCACCTTGGTGGAAAAATTCTCTTCGGGTAGACACTCTATCGATGATATTCGAAAATTCTTCTTTAATCTCAAGCTTAATGGTGAAGTCTCGGTTACTATTCTTAATCTGAAGTATGTGTTGATTAAGCTACTTAATAATTTAGATTATTGTTGAGTGTTTTCTCATCGTTCTTATTTTGTGAACAATTGCTTAATGAAAGTGCTCAAATGATCTCCTACATTTGATATTGAAGTAGAATCCCCCATCATTTTGATTTGGGTCTCATTTCCCAACCTTAGACCGCCCCTCTTCTCTCCATGAATCCTTCATGGCCTTGGTTCCCTATTTGGCTGGCCTCTTAAAACGGATAATGCCACTTTGTGTGGTACTCGGTTGTCGGTTGCCCATGTTTTGGTATAGTTAGAGTCACCAAATAATTTCCAGATCAGGTGTGGGTTGGTCCCAAAAACATGGGTTATGTCCAGTTTGTGCTTATGGAGGATTTCCCTTCCTATTATTCTCCCTGCAAATCGCTTGGACAATCAAAGTTGGGTTGTAGCATCTTAAACCCCCATATTCTTAATATTCCCTATGTTAATACTCTCTCGGGTAATGTGGGTGTTATGCCTTCTATTTATGAGCATAATACTAGGCAAGCTAATGGTTATATGGTTTAGCTTTGCAGAATAATGATGATGTTTCTAGTGCGAGCCATTTGGATAATGTGCTTTTGATCTCTAGTGAAGCAGATCTTTTGGTGGAGCATGACCCCTGTTGTTCCTCCTGTGGTTATTCCGGTTTTGGAGAATATTGGCTATGTTATTTCTAAATTTGGTTGGAATTGCTTCTCCTTCTCCTGTTATTAACAATATTGTAACTCTTTGTGGTTCTCCTTTGGTGGATTTGGCGTGTTCCATCCAAGAGGCTAGTGAGGATATAAATAAGGAGGATGTTAATAATGGATGGTTGTAATTTTAAACTTGTTGATTCTTCTGTTGTTGTTGAGAAGGTCCATCATGAACTTGTTTCATAATCTTGTCATGAGAATGTGGATGTGGTGAATATGAGATTGTGTGATGTTAACATGACAGTTGATGACAATTTAGCTCTACCACATGTTGCTTCACCTGTTGCTGCTGTTGAGAAGGATTCAAAGGAAATTGTTATTGGTTTGTCTCATGATAAGTTGAAAGTGGTGAACATGGGGATTTGTTATGTTAACATGGTGGTTTTGAATGACTCCTAGTGGAGTGGTTGTTGCTTCTGATAAATCTCCATTGTTCTTTGGATCTGATTTTGTCTCCTAATGTTATGGATGCAGATGAGAGTGTGCCACTTATTGATGTTTTAGTTTCTCTTATTTCTAATGATGGTTTGAAAGTTCAATTGGCATTGAACGTGGTGGATTCTTTTGTAGACCAATCTAATTGGCTTGATGTGTACTTTTCCTCCCCTTGCGAGGGTGATGAGGAGGACTTGGATCGGCATGAGGATGAGCTTCATGTGAGGTATAATTTGAATGTGGGTCGCATAGTTGAAAAAGCTTTTTCCCATGGGAGTGGCAAACACCGTATGTGGAAATATAAAAAGAAGTCATTATTGTTGTTTTTGTTTTTTTCTTTTGCTGTTGGCCCTCCCCTTGGTTGATGTTTTTCCCTTGGTTATTGTGATTTTTTTGGTGTTGAGCTTTGTGGTTTTGTTTGGCTTTGGGTGTGCCTGTTAGGCTTTGTTGGATTGGCTTTGGGTGTTTTGGGTTGAAGGCTAGGTTGTGGGTTGTGGTTGGCTTTCGACTACATTGTTTGGGTTTGAGAAAGACTATGGTGTTGGGTTGGGGGTCAGGTGGTACTTTCTCTTGTGGTGGTTGATTGGTTCTGCCTCTGTTGGTTGGTTGGGTGGTCTATTTGCCTTCAACATTTTCATTTACATGTTTCTTCCTTCCAGATTGATGTTTTGTTGGATCTTTGCAAGTGTTAGCACTAGCTTTTTCCTGATACCAGCTCATGAATGACTCTCTATGTGGTCCTGGCTTTTGATTAATTTGTTGTCTTTTCTTTTACTTGATTATTGTATTTATATTGAATCAAAGGCTCATAAATTTTGTTGTAAATGATGTATTTTTATAGGGCTTTGAATTCATTGACTTGTAACATTGCTTTGCATTAATGCTTAGGTTTCTATAAGTGGATTTTATCCAAAAAAAAAATCAAATTCCACAAAATAACTAAGTAAATGATATGAATAAAACAACAAATTTTATGCAAAAATGTTAAAAGTTAGCTCCATCAACATCTATAAAAGTATAGGAATTGTATTGGTTTCAAAGTTGCAAAAAAAAAAAAAAATCCAAATTCAATTTAACAAATATTTATTAAAAATCTAGAATCAAATCATAAAATCCTCATAAAAAACATGAAATCCCTGAATAATATATTTTCTTAAATTTAATCTACTTTTTGAGAATTTTACTTGAAACAAACTTAAACTTCTACCAGTAGAGACCATCCAAAAATTTCTTCTATAGAATATGCTGAAGAGGCAATTGATTTTTATGATATATTTTCTATGGATAAATTGAGAATTACTAATAAACAAAAAGATTGCAAAAATTTTTAATTTTATTAAGATAGTCATAAAAATGCTCTTTCTTACAGCTCAATCAATATTAACAATTTTGCCTTTTTGTCAAGAAGAATTTTCCCTCATCTTTAAATAAATTAAATACTTCATTTTGAATAACAAGTCTTTCTTGCATGAATCTACTATGGCTTTTTATCTAGGCTTCATCTAAAATAGTTATGCTGATGGCTTGATGCTGAGCTCTTTGTTTATCTCCATACTCTTACATTTAAATACAAACTAAGTGCTCTATAAAATTATCCACAAAATTCTGCAACAACAAAGAAAAACATTCTCAAACAAGAGAACAAAATTTTTAAATTGTTCTCTAAAGATCAACAAATCAGAAGTTAAAGTTCAATTGAAACTAATCAATCTGCTCTAAGAATAACTAAGCATTAAAGAGGAAAACTTGGCAAGAAATAACAACAAACATAAAAAAAGGAACTAAATATATCCTCTTGCCTCTTAACCCACAGGCCCCCACTTTGCAACATCATTTCCCCACATGGCACAAAAGCAGAACTACCAAAATTTGAAACCACTGGAGAAAAGGTGGAAGAGGCCTGATTCCTCCAGTCTTTTTCCCCACAATACACAAACCTATCTCCTACTTTCTCTTTTTCACCTTCTCCTTTACTTCATATCATATTTGGCCTGCTCTCAACATAAGAAAAAAGATTCAAGCATCATTCCATGCAGCATAAACAGGCGTTTGAGCCATAGGAACTGAACTCCTAAGCTGGTTCGATGTCGGCCCCCAGGAAATCAGTTGCGTTGTAGGACCGACAAACTTGGTCGACAGAGGCGGCATCGAGGCCATAGGAAGAACACCATAGCTTGTGCTTCGTTCCCTTGAGCTGCTCGAGTCACCAGTCGCCAAAGATACAGTATTCATTCTGTTGGGATTATTCTCCATGCCTTGCTCTTCTGAACTCCAACTTTCCATTCCAAAAAACCCATGGAAATTTGCCAAGAATGAACTGTTCTGATGATTGCCATTAGCTGATATAGATTGGTGATCCAGTGGTTCTGAGTTTGCTGGAGCTTGCTGTGGTGACTGGTAGAGTGTCATTCTCCAATCAGATGCACTGGTGTTGTCTTCAGTAGAATCAAGTTCTCTACTGTTGTGTTGATCTGTCAATGCTACATTGTCGATAATTTCGATAACTCCATTTCTTCGAGCAAGTTCGCCGGACAATAGAGTGCTACTTGCCATGATCTTATCAACATCATATCTTGACATGATGAAATTTGTTACAGCATTCGTTCCGCGAAATTTGATTGCAGCAATGTCATAAGCTTCAGCTGCTTCTTCTTGTGTACCTGGGATTATAATTTACTTTAAGTCAGCAAGATCTGGTAATATGGACATGGTGGATTAGTCAAACAAGAGTTTTGTAGCCACAGAAGAATCAGCCTTATAAAAAGGAGATGTACTGTTGAGAGATAATTAAAGAATTATGAAAAAGCAGTTGTTAGTCTGAAATGGCTTATTCTGAATGTTCTTTTTGAATGACAGGTAAGGTACATTGACAAATTTTGAGAATAAGCCAGAAACAAAATAGCATCAAGCATTTGAGAAAATTAAATGGAATGTATTGTAAAAAGAATTAGAGGAGCTAACCAAAGGTTCCAAGGTAAAGATCTTTGTTTCCTGAGACTCTCCCAATGCGAGCTTGCCATCTTCCATGTTGGTGATGCCTAAATGATGGCATGATGAAACTTATATGAGTAATCAAAATGAAGAAATAAATGGTTTTCTATGACTAAAAAAAGGATATAAAGCAAGAAAAGACCTAGTGACTCCGCGATATATAGAAGCCCCTCTAGAAAATCCACTGCTTTTCCTGCAAGCAAGAATGGTTTGAGAAGTTAAAAACATTATTAAACATGGATGATTTATGTGATGAAGAAAGTTGTGTTCACCTTCTTAAGTGTGCAACATATTCCTGCCTACTCATGTTCTTCATTTGTACAAGCTCCTCCTGGTAATCCTCCAGCTACATGAAACAAATACACATAGTTACATATACAGGAAATCATTACTGAAAACCAGAAAGAAAATAATTCTTACAGAGAAATTGATGTGGGTGGCAAGTCCCCAATACTTTAATGCAGCCAAGTCATAGGCCCTAGCAGCTTTCTCTTCCAAATCATAACCCCCTAAAGTTTACAAAATGCAAAGAATAGGAGTTTGAGCATTGAGGAGGAAGTTTAATGAACAAGTCATGAAAATCTCAAATAGAAAAGAAAGGCGCATATTTTTGGTAAAGAAAGTAGAGGCATACCCAAATAAACTATTGTTGAAGTTTTTTGTTTCATGGTACCCCAAGGAAAGAACATGACAAGGAACCAAAGTTAGATAAAATATTAACAAACTTTATAAAGGGAAATAAAAAAAAAAAAAGACCACAAAGCTTCAAACAAAGATTTTTCTTAACCAACCTTGTCTTCCCTTCCTTGTCTGCCCTTCCTTCTTGCAACTGTTATCCCAAAGGTGAGCTTCATATCTACCTGTCCATCTATGCCTTCATCATCACATAAAACAACACATTAAATATCTTAAAGAAAAAAAAGAATTTTGCATGCTCAAAGTAAGATGAAGATAGAATAAAATACCTTGTAACTCCTCTGTATTGAGAAGTTCTCTGGCCAAATGTATCAATGGACTTCCTGTGAACTGGCTGCTTCTCAGCTCCTTTTCCATTTGCTCTCTTCTTTGAATGCTCCAAAGCCAACTGCTCATTTTCTGAAGCAGAAGTGATCTGCTGCTGTGGAGCAGTTATACAGCTAGATTGAGATCCAGGGCTCATGGATAAGCTCAAGGGCTTGAGATCACCATGCCTCAGTAATCCAAGAGAGCTAAAACCCATCTCTCTTTCATCACTAACTCCTTCATTGCTTTGGAATCTACAATCGGACATTTGATCTCCGACCAATGAACCCTGATACATCTCATGCAATGGCTGAAAGTAGTTTTGGTGCCTGAAAGGTTGTTGAAAGAGCTCAAGAGAATGGTTTTCATTGCTCTCGTGCTCTATGTTTTGTCCATAATACATACTGTCCAAGCTTAGAGCCATTGCTCCCCTGTCACTGTTGCTAAACGGATGGGTCCCCATGTTAGGACCACAGCCCAGGAAGTCTTCCAGTTTTGGGGATGGAGATGGCACCATTCCTTCACCAAAATGAGTAAAAGAAAGGAAAAGGAGAAGGCAAATTTAGAATGGAAGAGAAGTAGAAGAAGATCAACATATGAGAAAGAGAGAGAAAGAGAGGCTGACCTTCTTGTGATCTGCTGAAGGCTTCCATAATGCAGAGAGAACCATCAGACTTAACTGGCATGACTGATGAAAGCTGAGAGTAAAACCCTACATTCTCTCCATCAGCTCCATAGCAAATGCCAGAGCTGCTGAAATGGGGATAAGAAAGAAGAAAGTTGCTTGGAACAAAAGAGGAAGCGTTAGCCGGTGAAGATTGATGAGTAGCTTGAAGATTTGTCTGCTTAAGGGGATCTTGAGCAACTTCCATTCCCAGCTGAGGGGAGAGAGAGAAGCCCAACCAGTTGGTATTGTTCATGGACTTCATCTTTCTCACACACAAACTAAACTCAGGGGAGCTCAATCATTGGAGAGTACTAAATTTCATCATACATCCTACACGCTACTTCACCATCTTTATTGAAGCCTGGGTTTCTGTGTTCTCAAGAAACTCAATGCCTTGAACTGTTTCAGGGGGAGAATGGAAAGCAAAAGAAGTTGGGAGAGAGCTCAAGGACGGGCCCTTAAACAACGCAAAAAGAATGAGCTTTATCTACCAAACTACAGAGCATTGAAACATTGATACTACTACTGCTACGCCACTCCTGAAATCCTTAGGGATCTGTGTTAGGAGAAAGAAAGACCACGACTTTGGCTTTTCCCTTATTTCCTCATCCCTCCATGCCTTTTATTAAGCCTCTTAAAACCCTATCATAAACCTCTAATCGTAGAGCTACAATGTCAAGACAAAGCTGCCCTGCCGCTGCGAAGAAGACCTGGAAATTTACTTCCAAAGAGAATTTTCTTTTTAATTTAAAAACCTAGTTAGATAATTAATAATGATTTTTTTTTTAATGTTCGTTTTATGCAAAGAGTGTTGAGTTATTTGAAGTGTAATCAGATCATTGCTGGGAGAAATTATAAGGATATAGAATATCGTTTGGAGACTAACTAAAAATGTATCACGTTAGTGGTACCGAATAGTACTGAGTCATAGTACCGACCAAAGGGTTGACGTGAAGTATTCTTATTGTTCTCCAGACGGCGTTCAAGTTCCGCACAAAATAATTAGTGCAGTATACGCACTTCTAAATATTTTTGTATGCCTATAGTACAAATGTCAAATATCATAAGAATTTTACAATAAAATTAGCTCCCTAACAAATATTATACATTCGTATACATTGCAAGCATACACTTATGAGAGAGAGTATTTACTTTTATTTTGTTATTGTTAAATTTTATTTGTGAAATTTATGTATATGATGTTATATTTCATCAAATGATATCTTTAATAAAAAATAAAATAAAAATTAAATATTTAATATTAATCATTTATAAAATTTAATATTATGTCTATAACTCCATATGATAACATTAATAAATTATTATGAATGAGCATTAGATAGTATGCTTTTATAATATGGTATTAGCTTAATCTCACAAAGTTTGAGATTAGAAGAAGAAAAAATATATTTATTTGACAAGCTTAATGTTTTTAGTATTTAAAAAAATATCTTTTGTAATAATAATAATAGAATTTTATTAGTGTAATTTATTTGAGGGAGAATATAAATGAATTAAACTTTAAATTGTGCCAAATCTCTATCTTTTTTGCTCTTTCAATTTTGTTCTGAATAATAAGAGGAGAATTAGTGTATAAAGATCCTATCAATCCAAATTTAGAAAATGGGTTAATAAAAAGCCTTATTTCTGAGATTATACAGTGACTGATTTTATAAATTTAAATCCATAAATAAATACCATTTTAGCAAATAATTTTGATAGAGTTATATCAGAATGAAAACAATAAAGAGGGAATTGTGTGCATAGAGCAAAATTCTTATTTATTTATATATCTAATTTTTAATTTATGAATATATATTTTTATATCGTCTAAATATCTAAATCATATGAAAATATTTGCATAAAATATGCATTTTATTTTAGATGAGTTAATGTTAGTGATATTTTATGTGATTTAAAAATTTTGAATGATATATAAATAAATATAAAAATTTAAGCATTAGATATATAAACATATAATAAATCAATGATATATCTATAATTTCTCAAAAAAAAAAAACTATAAATAAATGATACAATCCCTCAAATATATAATACATGAAAATATAAATAGAAAAGACAATTTTTTCTCATAAGAAAAAATAGATTCCTATTTTTGAACTTTAATGAGCTTAATCTTCTATTATGCTGTCTTCTCATCATTATATAAATTATATATAGAACTACCATAACCTCAAGGTCACGATATAAGAAACTAAGCTAATGCTCTAAACTCTTGACGTTCTCTCTCTCTCTCTCTCTCTCTCTCTCTCTCTCTCTCTCACTCTCTCTCTCTTACCCACACATATTTGTTCATGGTCAGTAGATGACATAGATGGATGTGTAAGACTTATAACACTTTATGTTTTCATAGAAGAATCTAAAGATTTTGATGTTGAAAGAATGATAGTAAGACAATATTGTTGTGCCTTAAAAAAATAAATTTTCCTTAAAAACTTAGGTTTTATTTGGGACGGTTTTATTACTATTTCTTAAAGTAATTTTTTAGTACAAAATTTTAATTTTTTTACTAGAAAGTTACTATAATAAGCAGTAAAAAGGCCATCCCAAATGAAGCATTAGGATTTATTTGGGACAACTTTCTTACTATTTTCTGCGACAGCTTTTTAATACAAATTTCATTTTAAAATTACGAAATAGCAGTGGTTAAAAACTATCCCAAACAAAGACTTAATTTTTTTTTATTAAATTATAGCTCTAATAGAGTAGTGTTGACCATTGTTCAATACTGTAAAATTTAACTTTTCTAGACCTTATTAGTTATGATCAAACCAAAAAAAAAATCACATTAAAAATCAGACATTTTTTTATTTTTTATGGTATGAAAGCATGAAGATGAAAGGAGAAGAAGATAGAGCTTACTTAATTATTTTATCACTAAGAAGGATGCTTCATCATCAAAATACAAAACAAAAGAAAGACCCAAATGATGAAAAGAGTAGAAGAGGCCTGCATGACCATAAATTTACATTATTATAGTTTGGATGTGGTCAATATCCATTTTTGTCAAAAAGTGGAATGAATGCTTAGATGAGTTTGATACATTCTTTAATCATGAAAGCAACCAATGGAGAGAGAATGCCCCATAGACATTGAAGAAAGTCTCCTTAATTGGTTGAATCCACATTATTTATATATTTGTATTAAGTATTGTCTAAGGTGTTATACCTATTCTTTGCATTTCATGATTTTGAATGTTTTATGTTCATTTTATCTTAGGTAATTAAATATCTTCTCCTTTTTAATCTTCCAATTCTGATTTTATCTAATAATCTAATGATTGTATTTTTAATCCCAATTTTTATAAAATATATATTATGTCTTTTAGATAACCTTCTATTGTATTATACTCTTTATATCATTTATAGAGATAATTTAATTTAGCACAAATTTTCAAGTAATTTTTGGGATGAAATTATTTCAAAAGTCATTTGAACTTTGTTTTTAACAAATTTATAGTAAAAAAACTGCATTTTGACAAGGTAAATCTTGCAAGATCAAAAGTGTGTAATTTAGAGCATAATTACCTCTATACCCATCATTTGTCTACTTTAGCTTAGTCTAATAGCCAATTGTCTCTTCTCGTATCGTTGATCCAACTTTCATGCGATCTATGCAAATAGGTTGATTAGGAAGGGCACTAGCGACCCTCTACTTTTCCCCAACTCACTGGCTACAATCATTTTTAGGTTCCTCTCCTTGGAAGAAATCCATGTCTCTAAATAAATCCTTAGATTGCCAGAAGATGCTCCAATTTACTCGCAATTCATTATAAAAATTTGATGATCAAAACTTTTTGAAACCTTTGTGACCTCTATAGTCAACAAAATTATAAATCATTTGCAACATTAGATTGCTCTTGTGAATTAGAATATTTATGTGATAAAATGACAAAGATTCCTTGCAATTTTCATTACTCCTAAATTTTTTTTGTGTACCTTTTTCATAATTAATGTAATTCATACATGTTGTTAATTGACCAATTGGTGACGATAAAATATTAAAATTGTGCCTAATCATTATAATCTCTTAGTGATAGAAAAATACAATATATGCTTTCTGTTTTTCCCCGGATTATCCAAGCATTAAATCTTCTATTTGACAATACATTTCTATTTGGATAATCATCAATAGATTCTCACATTGTTCTAAAATTTATAAAAAAATAATAATAAAAAAAAATTGTTCTAAAATTTATCAATTGAGAGAGAGAGAGAGAGTTATATGAGGGTTGATGGGGTATTGTTAGTAAGGAACAAAAAAGCCCTCGTATAGGTTTAAAATTATTGTGAGTTTTCCTATTGAGTTCATAGCTCATGTCCCTTACATTTCATGGCCATGTCGAACGCCAATAGAACATTTGTTAATTTAAACTATTAGATTAAGTCAAATATCATTGTACATGAATCTATCATTGCTCACTCATGACTACAATTTAATCAACTTAACAACAAGCACAAGAGCAACTAAGAAGGAGATGACAAACTTAATTAGCACAAGAAGCACGATAAGCTAAAAAGAGAGGCCTCCTAGAAGAATTTATTGAGAAGGGAAGCTTCTTGTGGTGTCTTATTGCCAAGTTTTCTTGAGTAAAAAAAATTGACTAGATAGCTTATAGGATGGCTCCACGAGGGCAAATTATTACGTCCGGTGTTCGGATTCGTCCGGACACCAATCCATGCGCGCCACGTCTCCCAAATACACTAGGGCCGTGATGTGGCACGTCTAGATTGGATGTCCGATCACCGGACGTAATAATTCGCCCTCCACGAGGGAGAACATTGTGTGAAAAGTTGCTATGAAGATTTTTAAAATTGCTAGAAATACATTAAGATGAGTGAAATATAAGCATAACTAATATCATACTCATCTCAAAGAAGATCAAAAGACTTTGAAATTCATACCGATATTTCTTTTACCAGTATATCCTAATATCAAAAATTTCCATGACTTTACAAGTACTAAAACCACCATATATCCAAGAAAATAAAACTTTCTTATAAAACACCACCAAAGTGTCATTAATGATGGTCCACACCATGTTGTCGAACAACCTTCTTTGGCCCATTGTCCTGCGACACACACATCTTGGCTTAAATAAATTCATATTAGAGATAGAAATTTTATGATATGAGCGAGCCATTGAATATTTCTTACCTCAACAAGGAAAGATTATTAGGTGCGGAGTGAGGATGGGGAGAACCATCCGCACAAGTATTGAGTACCTAGCAGTACCCGCAC